GGCTAGGGAAACCATAAGTCTAATGTAAAAATACCTACCTAATCTTATATATTAATGTTTAATCAAACACCGTTGACTATCATTACTTGTAATTAGCCATGTTATATAATAAGGTATATCAAAGGTAAGTAATAGTGACTTTTTATATCCATTTTCATAGAGTAAAACATTTTTATTGTTGAAAGTAAATTTAAACCGCTGTATGTCCGTTGTACGACATAGTTTGTTTGTGATATTTCCTCAATTAAAAGCTTTTACAATGAAACATTTCAATGAAAACAAATTTGATTTCCCCGTACATGTTAAGAGTGAATATTTTCGTCAAAAATATACTCTGATTTCGTCTAAATGAATGATTATTTCTTTTGAATAACATCGGAATTCTGACTCCAGAAAAAAAAGGTTAATGAGAAAATAATTGGTGTAGGAAGATTCATACGACATTCATTAGGAAGATTCATAGGATATTCTTTAGGAAGATTCATAGGACATTCATTAGGAAGATTCATAGGACATTCGTTAGGATGATTCATAAGATATCCATTAGGAAGAGTCATAGGACATTCATTAGGATGATTCATAGGACATTCATTAGGAAGATTCATAGGACATTCATTAGAAAAATTCATAGGGCATTCATTCGGAAGATTCATAGGTTATTCATTAGGAAGATTCATAGGATATTCATTAGGAAGATTCATAGGACATTCATTAGGAAGATTCATAGGATATTCATTAGCAAGATTCATAGGATAATCATTAGGAAGATTCGTTGAACAGTCATTGTGACGAACCATAGGACATTTTTTATTAATATCATTAGACTTTCATTCGCTTTTATCGGCAAAACGTTTTAACCCATAAAAGAAATTTTTTCATATTTATCAATCATCTCTTCGTATCGTATCCAACATCGACCCACCAATTTTTTTTAGAAAGAAATCAGTTTCAAAATTGCACGTTGTAAATAATAGTTAGAAGAACGCATTTGAGGACACGTAAGACACCCATTGCTTTACGGCAAAATTAAAAAATAAAATCGACTTGCGTTTTATATGCAAAATTGAGTTCTCATTTTTTATATTTTTTACCCACGCCCAAAAGTTAAAGCTATATGAGTGTTAGTAACCTACTCACTTTTTCGTAACTCTCACTATTATTACTGTATTAGTCGTGTCCGTTCTAGACATGAGCTATCATGGGTCTCTGCAACCTCCATTTTTTCTAGCTCTCAATCTTTGTCTATTTACCATCACTTTCGCTCGTTGATATAACATCAATTTTAAAAGTTTTAGACATGCTAAACGCTTTCCCTCTTGCCTTCAATATGTGCAGTGAGTATTAGATTTACTGGGCATTCTTTCTTCAGCATGCATTCCAGAAATTTCAAATGTCGCATTCATATTCTAATGTAAAATATCGTTTTTGTTTCCTTTTTTTAAAAACCGTGTACCTTAATCCTTTTGAGTAAGGTCACGTTTACTTATCATCTCTCAGTTGCGTCTCTGTCTTTGGGCAGAGTGGGCTCAGTGGTTTCTCTGTCTAAGGACAGAGGGGCAACTGAGAAAATAATACTGAAAAGTGACCAGCCATGGGGAAGAGCTGCCCGAGGCCGCGCCCTCCCATTTCACAAGAGAGAGGGATCGGTGCTCGCACCGAGGCCAGCGTAACCGACGGTTGCGAGGGCTGAGGGGAATTTTTCTCCCTTGCCCGAGTGTACGCGCTCGGGTGCCCATTTATGTCACATCTCGTTCTGGTGGGAGAACGAGTAAACATCGTCTTCGTTATTTAAATGCTTGGCCCGTGGCATTAGCAAGATCCTTCACATCCTCACTACTAGTCTATCCGTCGAATTGTCCAGCATTCACTAATGTATATATGATATTAATTACGATATATGATATTACGTAGCGGTTCAGCACGACTTTCTTTATTTCTAATAAAATTTTCCACTTTTTTAATATTTTATTTTTGGATGCATCCTTTAATAAACGAGTATCCCTTCTGATTTCTCTATCACATAATCTGTCCTGAAAAAAAATACTTCCTAATATTTAAATGTATATACTTTTTATTTTGTAACTATGTAACAGGATTAGTATTATTCTCACCACTACTACTGCTACAGTTACTCCTCCTCTTTCTACTACTACTACTACTACTATTACGAGTACTGTAAAAGTAAATACAGTAAAAAGGTGTCAGTGACCTTCGTCAGTCCTAGTTACTACTACTTCTGCTGCTACTACTACTATTACTACTACTGTTAATAATAATAATAATGATATCATAAATGTATAAGGAATTACCCTAAAAATATTCTAGTGACCGTTGTCGGTCCCAGCTCCTCCTCCTACTACTACTACTATTGGATTTTCACATCCTGTAAAAGGAACTACCGTAAAAAAATCCAATGACATTCGTCGGTCCCAGTTATTAAGAATTCGACTACTACTACTACTGCCAGTACTGTAAAAGGAATTACCTTAAAAATTCCTAG